GAAACAACAGCAGCACTTATTATCTTTTTTAAATTTATGTATTTTTATTTATTTTTTACAAATGACCATTTTAAAAGCACAGACCTATAGAAGCAATAACTATTCAGGCTATTAGCTGAGTTTTTTCATCGGGTGGGGTTTCAGCCCCTATCCAGTGATCCAGTTCAGCGTATAAACTCTGTATCTGAACGCAGAGCGATGAGCTACCTGCAGGTCTGGAGGAAATCACCGCGGACACACAGTTCAGTCTGAACGCACCTTAAGCCTTAAAATGCTGTTTACAGTCTGAGGATTTATATTCTAAATGCAATGTTTAATTAAAAGTATATATATATTCCTTATTGTGTTTCAGGTGTTTTTGTTGTTTTTTCTAAAACAAAGATCATTGGTTGTTTCCAGACAGGTAGGTGGAGCTTCTAGAAGAATCCTCTGATTCTCACCTGTTGTCGGGCTTCATTCATTGTTCTAAGTGTTGTTAGTCCTCACACCTTTAAGTTATCTTTAAAGTATTTTGATTAAATCATCTCTGACAGGTTTTAGTTTTCTGTCTGAGCAGATCCAGTTTATTTGGTGAACTTTCTCCTGCTTTATAACTTTTAAGCGTTGCTGATTCTGCCATAGAAATCAGTGTCCTTTAATAGCTGCTGGATGAGCTCCACTTCCACCAGCAGAGCTCTACAGCACCACCTGCTGGGCGGATAGATGCAGAGCTCAGAGTCCTTCAACCTGTTCTGACAATTTCATTTTTGAGAAGCTTCAGCAGCAGTAACATCATCATGAATATTATATTTATTTATCAGCAGGTCTGATGTCATGCAGATGACAGAAGAGCTATATGTGTACATATTTTTTTATCTTTATTATCGTGTGTGGTTGGTTGTGCATTTATATATATATATATATATATAAATAAATAATCTGTCACTGGAGCGTGTAACAACAGTAATTTCCCTCTGGGATTATTAAAGTATTTCTGATATAGTCCCTAACCAGTGATGCCTCCAGAAATGTTTCATAGAGGGGGCAATATGGGGCCACTAAACGTCTTGTGGTGGCTCATTGAAACTAAAAACCATAATTTCAGGGTTTAAATCTACTATTGTGGTAAACCTGCCTGTAGAAATCATAAACACTGAAGTGAACATCTACTCATTTCTTGGTTTACTGTGTGCTTTTTAATGTTACCTTGCTGGCTGTGCAGAATGAGATGAAATGCTAAAGTGATGCTACTATAATTTACCCTGGGGAGTGGGGTGGCCAGTGGTGCCACTGTTCCAAACACTGCAGATATTATTGGAATCTGAGCTCAAATGTGAGCCAAACCCATTTAAAAAGGGACAGATCAAACTTTTCAATAAACCAAACATTAACAACTATGAAATTATTCACATACTCGTATTATATTAAACTGCACTAGCAATATTGACCATTTCTCTTTTTCCTCTGAGATGATTTCGGGGGGTTTATTGTACTAAACTCATTATGATTGGAGTTTTTTTTTTTCACAACTGAAGATGTTAAATATCCACTTAGCTAATACTTGCAAAAAAGGTCTGTTTTCTCTGAGAACGTGTATTAATAAGGAATTACTTTGGAGATTTATAAAGTCTAGGCTTTAATAATTATTGAGTCCACAATTTGATTATTATTATTTAATAAGAAATGCTATTACTTAGCATCAGAGCAGAGGGAGATGTTTATAGAGAACCCAAACAGGTGATATAAAGGATCATAATCTTCTGAAGCATTGAGAGGGAGGGGGATATTTTCCTGTTGCTGTGTCAAAGGATCTGTTAAAACATGGGACCAAAAACATGAAAGTAAAAGAACTGGATCCTGCAGGCTGATTATGACCCATCCTGGTAAATCCATCAAGGACTGGATGACCTACGATCTGAGCTTAATAAGAGCCACAGTGAGTAAGCTTATAGCACAAAAGATGCTGTGTAGAAAAAAAAAACTTTCTTTTTAGCAGCAGCAGCTGATGTTGCTGGTAGAAACATGTCACACATCCACCACTCATCATCCAGGCTCCTATAAAAGGAACCAGGTTGAAACATTTCAGGTTTGGAGACAGAAATTAAAAAGTCTCTGCTTGCATATCAGCAAAATCTCCTTCAACTTGTCTGATTTTATAGAAACAGATTGAATCTCTGAAGGTCTGCAGCATTAAAACTGCTCCTCTAAGGGTCAGTTGTGTTCTTTTGTGCTTCTAGATCCCAGCCTCATTTGCCGCTGTAGATCACTTTAAGCAGTTATTACAGTTGGAGCATTAGAAGATAGTGGAGCTCCTCAATCCAGATTCAAACGTCACTTTAGCGACAGAATATCCAACTTCAGGAGTTGCTTAGGCCTCCATCATAGGGTCAGTCTGTTTATATTTGTTTATATCAGTGATGGGACCAATAACACTGATGCATCAGTGCATGTGTTGATCTCTTAACAGTAAAGTCCTGTGTTGGTGCATAAATTGTTTCAATAAGGTCACATGACCGATACAGGAGCTGTTTTAGATTGAATGACGCACATCTAACAAACACATCTACCAAAAATAAAAATCGTTTGTCATCAAACGAATCAATAAATATGGAGCAGCCTCACGGCAAAGAAAAGGTTTCAGCTGAGTGGAACCTGTAGAATTAGGAAGCTGAGGAGGAGGCATATCTTGCAAGAAATAAGGTTCAAACTTATTTAACGTCCTCAGACGGGGAAATTGAGTTCTCTGGCTTATGCAACCTTAGTACATACATTTATACCTTACTAAATCACACACTCGCCGCCCAGGGGAACCAACCCACCCATTAAAGAGTTTCCTCACACATGAACATTTGCTTATTCCCAAGAAAAGCACTTCAACTTATCAAGGACACATTTTAGCCAGATAAACTCTCAGAACAGGTCTCCTGTTTACAGCAAGAAGGAGGCTGTGTGAACTTGTTCTTATCTCTCATGACCCTCCCTTCACTCTTGTCTAGAGTAGAGAGGCTGCTGCTTTCTGTCATCCCCACTCTGAACTCCCTACATAACTCAACTCCAGCTTACAGACTGGTACAAGACTTCTAAACAATCACCTCTATTCATGCAGAGAAAAAGCACACAGAAAAATTTGTATCTCATAAATAGGCAAAGGAAAAATATTCTTTTTGATCTCAGATGTATTTTAACTTTCTTAATGTGTCATCCTGTTCCTGTCAGCTATAAATCAACTTATCTGAGTTGAAATGGATTTCAAATTGGCTCTTAGTTTGCTGTTCTAATTGTAGTTTATTTAAAGAAATAAATCATAGTCCACAAACATTCTTATTCACATGTTTAATTAAATTTTCCCGTTATATTGTTTGCATCTAAAAACATCAAACATGTTTTCAGTTTAAACGAATATCTAAAAAACATATATGGCGTAAATCATATTATAGGTCAACAGAAGCGGAGAGTCTTTGTGACACACCAGTGAGAAACCTGGGTGATGAGACCCATGAAAAAGAGACCATAATAAAAGTGTCTGAGCCAAACAAGACGTCTGGTCATTATCAAACACGAATATAACATAAGGGTTCACACTTACCTCCTCTTTCAATAATAGAGAAGAAGAAAAATATGTTTCTGGTTGCTTCCTGAATGTTTTTTGTGGATGTTTGGTGGCAACCGTTACCACCATGTGGTCAAAGAGCTGTAATGTTGCTGTTCCTCCATCTTGTCTTTATTACCCCCACCAAGGAGGTTATGTTTTCATCAGTTTTTCTGTTTATCTTTTTCAAAATAACTGAAAAGGTTGCTGCTATTTTCAGAGAAGGTAGGTACTGTGACTGAAACATTAATTAAATTTTGGTGATGATCCGGATCACCAAATGGATCCGGCAATTTTTGAAAAATTCTCTGAATCTATGTATTAATTGAAGGCAAAAGTCACAATATGTTTAAAGCAATGAGCTACTTGGCTTTCAGCTGGCTTAGACATCCGCTGAAAGGGGTTTAACACTTTAAGGCTTTTGTTATTTCCATAAGGAGTTAAAAAAACAGGTAAAAATCCCCCCCAAAACACAGGAAATCTTGGGGTAAAAACTTTGTCTAAACCCGCTTGTTTTTGTTTTTATTGTTCTGGATCTCTTTCATGAAGTCAAATGAAAACTGATTAGGTTTTATGAGTGTTGTGAGTCATTCATAAAAGTTTAAAGTCTTAAATATTTCAGTCAGACCTCTGCTGGATTATTCTGTTTTGTCAGAGTTTGTTTGTGGATTGTGAACCCAAAAGAAGAGGCAGGCAGAGGTGAATTTTTAGTTGTTTTAATCAAGTGAACTGAAAAACAAAGTCCAAAACCACAGGCAACAGGAATCCAACATCCAAAAAAGAAAACACAAGTCAAAATTTTACCAAAAAAAACCTAGGAGTCATCAGGGGAAGAACTGTAACCAGGAGGAAGGCTCATAGAGACAAGTAGGAGGAAGACTGATGAGGTTAGACGATGACCCAGCAAAGAAGAACTGAACAGAGAGAGTATTTGTAGGAGACTGAAACAAGAGAGGGTTAAGGAGCAGATTAGGAGCAGGTGTGAGCAGAGCAGAAACAAGAAAGGAGCAAGAGAAAAAAGGAGAACTCAAGAGGGCAGCAGAAGGCAACAAACAAAAACCTGAGAACTGAAAATAACCAGAAAAAAACAAAAGAAAAATTAAACCACTAAGACTATAAAACATGGAGAAAAGCAAAACTGAACACTCAAAAGAAAAATTTAACCGAGCCAAGACTGATACAGTAACTAAGAATAAACCAGAGAACACAGCAAAATAAGGAATAAAACCACTAACACTAGAAAACAAGGAGTAAAACAAAACTGAACACTAAAAGGTAAATATAACAGAACCAAGACTGAGACAGTAACTGAGAAAAACCCAAGGAACACCACAAAATAAGAATTAAACTATAAAAACCTATAAAACAAAGAGCAAAGCAAAACTGAACATCAAAAGAAAAACATGATCGAAACAGAAACCAAACATGTTTAATATTTTCCAGCATATTTATTAATTCATTGGTAATAATAGGAGCAGAAATCAGACCAAATAAGCGACTTTATGATGTTAATAATGTATTAAAGGAAGCAGTAGGGCCTCTTAGATCGAATGAAAACAATCTGATTTCATGCACAACTCAACATTATTTTACAGTATGGCTCCAGGAGTGTAGATCATCAGATCTTCTTCTTCTTCCATCTCATTGTAGAGAACAGTAGTGAAGCACAGCTGACTGGGAGCTGAGGATCAAAAGGGGAGAAAGAAACGCCACGTCAACATTCCAAGAACTTCCTTCTTCCATCTTAAAGTTGTTGCTCCTCTCTGTCCATCTCTCTCCCTGCTGAGGTTCTCATCCAAGCCTTCATCTCCTCCAGATTAGATTATTGCAGCATTGTTCTGTTTAGTTCATCGTCCAAAGTCCTCAATAAACTCCAGCAGACATCTCTATAGCTCTCCTGCTCACCCACACCTGCTCCTCTGACCACATCACCCCAGTTCTTCAGAACCTCCATGGACACCCTGGAGTCTAGTATACCAGTAGTTTCTAGTATAGCATTTGCATAGATGTTAGATTTGTTACAATCCAGGATTGATGACATAAAAACATCATTATTTTGATGTCATTTGTGTTTTTCATACAGCAAGTGGTTTATCACTCAGGCCAGATCCACCCTTCTTCTGGTGATGTTTGAATAAACAGAGACAATATTTCTTTGGTTCGTAATTAATTGCTCTCTTGATAGCCTAGCCACTGAACTGGTGAGAATAACTGGATTTTAACAGTCGGTCCAGAAGCCACCCTGAGTGTGAGAGGCATAAAATCCTGTTGACTAAACAGGTTATAGTTATAATTATTCAACTAAGAACTTTGAATTAATTTTACCCTTGACTTCAAATGATTTAAATAATTAACTACAACTCCAATTCTAGTTAATCATATATTCACAGAGATGGCAAAAGTACTCACTTTCCGTACTTGAGTAAAAGTACAGATACTTGTGTTAAAAAATACTCTGGTAAAAGTGGAATTACTGATTAAACTTCTTTACTCAAGTAAAAGTAATAAAGTACAGGCTTGTAAATTTACTTAAAGTATAAAAGTAAAAGTAGAAACCACTTTTTTCATGCCGTTGCCTACATTTTAAATGGATGTCTGCCAATAGGACTAGATCTTTGTTGTGTTCATTTTCAATCATCTCGTCGTCCATGCTACTATGCTAACGCCACCGCCACCAAGCTGCAATGATTTGCTGCAATGAAATGATTCAAAACTAAAGTAACGAGCCAATTTTTTTAAATGTAAGGAGTAGAAAGTACAGATATTTGTGTAAAAATTTAAGGAGTAGAAGTAAAAAGTCGCCATAAAAATAAGTAGTAAAGTAAAGTAAAAATATCAGAAAATTCTACTTGAGTACAGTAACGAAGTATTTGTACTTCGTTACTTCCCATCTCTGTATATTCATGATCTACAGGTAAAATATCACAAGATAATACAATAATAAAAACAATACAGACATCATATTATAATCCCAGAGCGAGAGTTAAAGTTAATAGACATTTATGTGACAGGATTTCTTTAGAAAGAGGGTCTAGCGAGGGTGTGCGTGGTCCCTGTTACTGTTTCCATTAGATTTAGAACTACTAGCCCAATCGAACAATGAATATTATCAAAGGGATGGAACATAAATTGGCTTGTTATCTAGACGACGTATTAATTCATGTGGAACAACCAACCCACTCTCTCCCAGTTTTTTCTGCAATTATTTAATATAATATTAATATAAAATATTTATGTTCTCATGCAAAAAAAGAATTAAAGAAGATATCACAAAACTAAATCTCACTCCCTTTTGAACTTCTAGCTCAAGAATTAACTATTAAGATGAACATACAGCCCAGACTGTTATATCCAAACTTTACCAGTTGAAATACATCAAACAGTTTGTAATGAATGGGACAAACTGTTATCAAGATATATTTGGTAAAGTAAAAGACCTTGAATGGGATATAAGGTCTTACAACTGGAAAAGAAAATGGGAGGTTGGGGTTTGCCTTCCCTTAGAGATTATTATATAGCGGCAAAAGCAGGAACTCTAATATACCGCTGCGACCCAACTTATAGCGCTCAATGGAAAACTATTGAAACAAAGGCGACACCCATTCCTGTACAGGCAATTTTAGCTGATGTAATTCTACAAAGTTTAAAAAAATATTATAGATAACCGGTTGATGAAAACAACTCTTAGAGTGTGGAAAACTATCATTAAAAAAATACTCTAGAGAACGGCCTGGCAATCATAAAATGAATTGCATATGACTCAGACTACTGGACATCCAGGGGAATCACTGCTATGTGCAAAATAATAAACAACAAAATCTGAGGTGATTTTGAAACATGCAAGAGAAAGTTTTCTTTGGACTATTTATCAATATTTGCCATTATTAATTGTTTTAAACTTAAAAATTAGGCCAATTACTGACAAGAATGCAAAACTAATAGAATATTTTAATAATGCCTATAAATAAAAAATTAAAGCAACAATTGCCTCACTTACCTATAAAAACCTGATAGATCTAAAAAACAATTCAACCCTAGATAACAAAGTAAGATGGGAGAGAGAGGAAACTTTAACAATAACAGAGGAGGAATGGGCAATAATGTTGAGATACCAATGGAAAATACAAGAAATCTCTACAATGGCAAGACTTTGGATGGAAAAATCTGATAAAATTCTTTATCAGACCTGCTCAGAAATTCCACTATGATGGAAATCCTCCTACATGTTGCAGAAATGCAGAAATCAAAAAGGCAAACCATTATGTCTCTGGGACTGCTCAATCATAAAAGATTACTGGAAAGAGATAAATAATATAAGATAAGAAATATTTGATGATTATTTTACTCACAGCAACTAAGAAAAACAAGATAAACCAACTTTAGACAACTGGATTGACATAACATTTAACATGTATAAAATGGAAAAAATAAAAGCTTCTCTCAATTACAAGACTGAACTATTCTGTCATCGGTGGCAGATTCAGGTAGAAAAACTTAAAAGATCTGATTTCATTTTTAGAGACCAAACTTGATTAAATCTCCTCAGCATCAACTCATTTTATACTATGTTTGTATTTTTTTTTCGTTTAGGTTTTATTTCCTCCTCATGCTCACTCACTTAACTTCCCTGAGAAAGATTATAAATCAAGGAGTATTGATTTATAATCTTTCTCAGGGAAGTTTAGTTTTATTTTTGTTTGGACTGTTACACCTTATTTGAAGTGTGCAACTCAGTCTTCTGTTGTAGAGGCCTAAGTTTATGTAAATGATATCTTCCTGAGAATCAATAAAGATGAAATATATATATATATATATATATATATATATATATATATATATATATATATATATATATATATATATATATATATATATACACTACTGTTCAAAAGTTTGGGGTCACATTGAAATGTCCTTATTTTTGAAGGAAAAGTGTCATTAATCAAGGTTTTTGTGGGTTGTTTCTGTGTTTCCTGTTTTCCTCCACCAGGTGGTGCCCTATCCTCATTGGGTCTCCTTGCAAACCTGCAGCTCATTGCCTCATTACCTGTGGAGTGCTCTTAAGCTGCTGACTGCCACTACCTCGAGGCCAGAGTGTTGCCAATACTGGGTACTCTAGCCATGCTTAGTTTAGCAGAGTCTAACCTGAGTTTTTATTTTGCCAGTTTTGGGTACTCTAGCCAAGCTGAGTTCGCTGAGTCAAACTGAGTTTTTGTCAACCTGAGTTTAACTTTGTTTTTGTCTTTGCCTCCTGGCAGGAAGTCATCCTGCAAACTGGATTTATCGGCAGTGATGGGACTAACGGCGTTGAAAGTAACGGCGTTACTAACGCCGTTACCTTCTTTTAGTAACGAGTAATCTAACTAATTACTTTGACTGTAACTATAACGCAGTTACCATTGCAGACACCCCGTTACTGCGCGTTACTCAGGTCGCACAATGAACCTTTTTTCATGATAGGACTCGTGCGCAGCTGCGTGAAGCTGACACCCCACCCACGTCAAAAAACTCTGCAAATAGACTAAGTGGTTAGTGCAACGTTAGTGCAGATTTGTGCAGAAAAAAATATTGTTTGTGCTACTTGAGATATTAAAGATTATTTTTTAGGTCATCCAGAGGTGCGCGCCTTGTCATGAGAGAGGGGAGGATGAGAATGGCTGATGTATAGTGAGATTCCGTCTGTCAGTTGGTAGGTGGGTGTTTCTGCTGGCGGGTGTTAACGTACAGCACACACAGAGAGATGGAGAGTGAGGAGCATCCAGCAGCAAACAGAGTTTTCCTGATGGAAATACCGGTGTTACGTCGAGCTGCGTTTCCCCATCAGATACGGTTTCCTCTGCATCTCCGCACAGCGCAGGCGGCACGAGTCACCGCGCAAGCGACAGGAAACGCGCATGCTCGCTAAAGGCACGCACCAGTCGCCCTGTGCTCGCGCCACAGGAGAACTATGGAGAGCGTGAACGATCAAATGAAAGGGAGAAAGATGGATGGATGGATGGATGGATGGATGGATGGATGGATGGATACTCTGCCTTCTCAACCTACTGTATTTTTTATTTTAAACATTATTTGATGGCCTTTGTGGCAGGGATGGAGATCCATATTTTATGTCACACACAGAGTATACATCTAGATAGATAGATGTATAGATAGATGTTGCAGTATCTATAACAACCCAAACACACAGGATTTCAGAATTAGACATCCCCAGTTATTAATTTCATATACTTACCAGATCTGAATGCCCTGTTAAAAAACTTCACATCTCGTTCCCCCCTGATGTCATTTGCATTGAGTTGCAATAAATGCAAAACTCTCTGCAGGTTCTTGTCTTTGTCGTCCGCTCTGTTCAGCTGGCTTTTGAATCACACCGCGAGAAGGTGGGGGCTGGGTGGTAAGGGTTACGGGGGCGAGAAACGCAAAAGTAACGCAATAGTTACTTTTACTAGTAACTAGTTACTTTTATTGTGGAGTAACTCAGTTAGCAACTCAGTTACTTTTTGGGACAAGTAACTAGTAACTATAACTTATTACTTTTTCAAAGTAACGTGCCCAACACTGTTTATCGGACCTTCACTCCCTGGAAGGATCAACAGAGCTTCAAACTGAGCTGGGGTTCCAACAGGAGGTTTGGATCCACTTTCCCCAAGAGATCGTTTGAGCTTTGCATTGAGAAAGGGATTATTCTCCACTACGACCCATTCAAGTACCACAGGAAAACTGAGTGGCAGTCAGCTTTCTCCGTTCACAAAGGAATAACCGCTGTCTGAGTAAACCCTGTCTGCCCAACATCAAACAAGACTATCACTGGAACATCCCACAAAGACTGGATTCTATTAAGGACACCTTTTGTTGGAAACCTGAGTCGGCAACCTCAACTTTCTGTTCCAGTTGAGCAGTGTTCAGAGCAGCATTGGACTCATGTCATTATTCAAATAAATCTGTTAAACTTTTCCCTGGTCTCTCTGTTTGGTCTTCTGCATTTTGGGTCAGACCTTTAATAAAATCACGACAAAAAGCACTGTACTTTTAAATAAAGATAACTTCAAACTAGTCTTAACTTTAAAGAAATACACTCTATACATTGCTAATGTGGTAAATGACTATTCTAGCTGCAAATGTCTGGTTTTTGGTGCAATATCTACATAGGTGTATAGAGGCCCATTTCCAGCAACTATCACTCCAGTGTTCTAATGGTACAATGTGTTTGCTCATTGGCTCAGAAGGCTAATTGATGATTAGAAAACCCTTGTGCAATCATGTTCACACATCTGAAAACAGTTTAGCTCGTTACAGAAGCTAAAAAACTGACCTTCCTTTGAGCAGATTGAGTTTCTGGAGCATCACATTAGAAGGGTATTCCATGCGAGAAATCACTAAGAAATTTAAGATTTCCTACAATGGTGTGTACTACTCCCTTCAGAGGACAGCACAAACAGGCTCTAACCAGAGTAGAAAAAGAAGTGGGAGGCCGTGTTGCACAACTGAGCAAGAAGATAAGTACATTAGAGTGTCTAGTTTGAGAAACAGACGCCTCACAGGTCCCCAACTGGCATCTTCATTAAATAGTACCCGCAAAACACCAGTGTCAACATCTACAGTGAAGAGGTGGCTGTGGGATTCTGGGCTTCAGGACAGAGTGGCAAAGAAAAAGCCACATATGAGACTGGCCAATAAAAGAAAAAGATTAAGATGGGCAAAAGAACACAGACATTGGAGACTGGAAAAAAGTGTTTTGGACGGATGAATCCAAGTTTGAGGTGTTTGGATCACAAAGAACGTTTGTGAGACGCAGAACAAATGAAAAGATGCTGGAAGAATGCCTGACGCCATCTGTTAAGCATGGTGGAGGTAATGTGATGGTCTGGGGTTGCTTTGGTGCTGGTAAGGTGGGAGATTCGTACAGGGTAAAAGGGATTCTGAATAAGGAAGGCTTTCACTCCATTTTGCAACGCCATGCCATACCCAGTGGACAGCGCTTGATTGGAGCCAATTTCATCCTACAACAGGACAATGACCCTAAACACACCTCCAAATTGTGCAAGAACTATTTAGAGCAGAAGCAGGCAGCTGGTATTCTATCGGTAATGGAGTGGCCAGTGCATCTGAACCCCATGGAGCTGTTGTGGGAGTAGCTTGACCGTATGGTACGCAAGAATTGCCTATCCAACCAATCCAACTTGTGGGAGCTGCTTCTGGAAGCGTGGGGTGCAATTTCTCCAGATTACCTCAACAAATTAACAGCTAGAATGCCAAAGGTCTGCAATGCTGTAATTGCTGCAAATGGAGGATTCTTTGACAAAAGCAATATTTAATGTAAAAAAAAATCTTATTTCAAATACAAATCAATATTTCTAACCTTGTCAATGTCTAGACTCTATTTTCTATTCATTTCACAACGTATGGTGGTGAATAAGTGTGACTTTTCAGGAAAACCCAAATATATATATATATATATAAATAACTTCACCCATGATATAACCCCAGTAGAAGTCCATAACTCCAAAGAAACGTGATCATGAATTTAAATATTTCATCTCCTCAAAGAGTGTTGCAGAGTGAGTATTCTCAACTTCAGGAAAAATGGTGAACACAGCACTGGGGGAAATGAGTTGATGTGGGGAGGAGGTGCTTCTAAAGCAGTGGTGCTGAAGTCCAGTCCTCAAGAGCTGGCATGCTATAACATTTACATGCATCTCTTCTCTAACACACCTGAATCTGAAGGCTCAATCATCTCCTTTAGCTCAGCAGAGGCCTGGTAATGAGCCACTCATTTGATTCAGGTGTGTTAAAAATGGGGAGCATCAAAAAATTGCAGGATAGTAGCTCTTGAGAAGTGGACTTGAGAACCTTTGTACTAAAGGGTGAGACTGTCCTTTGGTATAGTACTGTTGCCACAAGCATGGTTAGTGTGAGGGAATGCTTCTAGCCTTTCAGAGCAGTAATGTAATGATTTTCTTCTTAGTTTGGAAACAAATAATTACCTGAATAAAAGTACTTTAAAATATGTTGAAAGGCTCACAAACCCAAGTTAGTCTTAGTCTGGAGCCTAAAACCACCGACAGTGAACATCAAAGGCCTTAAAGTAGGTTTCAACCTGAGCTTTGGGCTGAAGCTGTCCGTGGTGCTGAACAGTCAGTCTGCCCTGGTTGTTGAAACGTTGAAGAACCAAAACAGAAAATATTTTTCTTTACTTTTTCTTGTATTTATTTTGATGGCCATTGGGATTATTTGCCTCTGAGTAAGGCTTTATCATTGGTGGTGTAGTTTGTAATATTTGGTTCTCTCCTCAGCCAGTTTCAAAGGGGAGGGTAATTTAGGGGTGGGAATGATTGGGAGATAGCTCTATGTGCTGTGGCTCTATTTTGTCGTGTTGCTTGATTAAAATAAAGACTTAGACATGTAGCTGATAATATCATTAAAACCAGGAAACCTGTGAAGCTGCATAATAAGATACCAAAAAGGTTTAGATTAGCAGATGGATACTCTCACTGTAAAATTATATGCTGTTTAAGAAGGCATAAAAATAATATAAATGATCACAAAACAAAGAGGATCCTGACAGAAAAACTACAACATAAACTAGGTGCCAGTCTCTCTAATGTGTTGGGTTTGACAGACATGCTGCTTTCACACATGTTCGAAGCATCAGCGTCATGATCTGATGCAGAAATAGAGCAGAAAGGGGAAGAAAAATTGTCGCACAACCCTATTAACTCTTCTTTCAGACATTAAGAATCCTGTTTTTATTTCAAATTCACAGCAAGAAATTTTGTTCTGATAGAAAATGAAAAATAACTTTTGTGAGACTTTAACAAAGGGTCAATATTACTGAGGTCCACATTGATCCAAAACTCAGAAACAGGAAGCCTGATGGCAGCAGAGTCTTTTAGAGTCAGTTAGCAGAAAAACCACAAACTGCAGCACATCGTGCAGCAAAGGAGGTGTTAGTTTAACTGTGATCTGCTGAAATATCAACCAGCTACAGACTAATATAGATTAGATACTGATCAGATGCATCATCATCAAAAGGTTAATATTTATAGACAGTGACGATGTGAAACAAACTGTATAAAACTGTTTAGTTCCCAGAAAACCTTAATGATAAACTGAACAACAGAACCAACAACAATGTCTCAATAATATATTATATATATATTATAATCTGAAAATAGAAAAGTTATGGAAACAGAATCTTAACCAAACTATAAAGCAGAAAACCTAATTTGTTAAAATAGGACCTATAAACTGTGTTCAGAGTAAATATGAAATAAATGGCCTCCTTAAACAATATATTTCAAAGGGAACTTTCTACAAATCTTTACATAATAGTCTAATTCATTGATCACCTGAAACTATTCTTATAAGACTTTTCCTGTTTTCTGTTGAATGTTCTTCTTGTTGGTCTCCCCAGTGAATCTCTTCTCAGGCTGCAGAGGGTCCAGATCTCAACTCCTCCCTACATCCACATCACTCCAGTTCTTCAGCAGCTTTTCTGGCTCCCAGTTCAATTTAGCTTCATCTACAAACTTCTTCTACCCGTTTTAATCCCCACCAGCTCCATCAGATCAGCCTCCTCCCTCCTCTCTGTTCTGTCCTCCCATCCTATCACTATGGGCTGCAGGACTTTTATTCACTCAGCTCCTCAACCCTAGAATCCACTGACCTCTGACCTCTGAAACATCACTTCTCTCTCTGTTTTAAACTGCAGATCTCTGTAGATTAGTCCGTCCTTCTTCATTCATCCTGGTGTTTTAAATCTCTAATCTTATTGTTCATTGTTGTTGTTTCAGTGTCCTGAAAGCTGCTTTTCTAAATGTTTTTTTAAACAATTTTGTCGCTGTTTCAGTTCTCAACAGCTTTTGATGATTGGTTTCTGTTTAAAACAGAATTATTAAACCAGAAAACATCATAAAAAAATTATAAAACTAACCACAGGATAATAAACACAATCTTACCTTTGCTCAGTTTGTTTTTCAGTCGTCGATGATGGGAAATCTTGACGTCTCTGTCAGGAAAATTGTCCTCTTCAACTTCTGGATGACCTGAAGGGAAATTAATTAAATAAAATACATTTATGAAATGAAACAGTTTCAGACGTTAGCTGTAAAACATGTGAAAATCCAACATAATCAGATTTTATTGTATTAATTCCTGCAGAGAACAAGTTATGCATGTAGCCATAGAAGCCTGTCTCACCCTCAGACCTTCTGCGAACACATCGTCTCACCATCAGAACCAGAACCAGCAGCAGTGGAACCACAACAATGATGGATGGAAGAGAAAGGAGCAGATAGAAAAGAGACTGGGAAGGTGGAGGAAGAGGAGGAAGAGGAGGAGGAGAAGAAAAGAGAGATAGAGGAGGAGTATTTCTGGTGGGGTCAGGGTTTGGTGGTTTATCTAAAATAAAAAGATATTCATTAAATTATCACAAAAGTACCATTGACTTAAAGTACTGATGTTTATCTTTCTGACCTTCAACAGAGATCCAGCTGGATGGAGACTCTCCATGACCCCTGATGTAACACCTGTAGAGGCCTTCATCAGAGCTGGTCACATGGTGGAGGGTCATGTGACCTTTGGGCTCAGTCCTGATGAGGGAGCCATCTTTATAGAAAGCAGCTGGGAGGTTGGAGGGAGTGGTCTTTGTTAGACAGCTCAGAATGACGTCATCTCCCTCCATCACAGGGAGGACAGGACTCTGCAGGATCACTGATCCACCTCAACACAGAGACAAACTACAGCATTTCATCCATTTCCACACAGCTTCATCAACACTAACTCCACAGTCTGATCTTACCAGTGACAGTGAGCTGGATGCTGCTGCTGGCTGCTCCCTCTCTGGACAAACACCAGTAAACTCCACTGTCTGCTGGGAGGAGGCTGCTGATGTTACAGGTAGATCCAGCTGGTTTCCCCCATCCATCTCCACACTGAGTCCTGGTTCCTCTGGTTGTGTTCCTCCATACAGTCCATCCAGCAGAGCTGTTGTTCTCCTCACAGCTCAGAGACACAGATTTATATTGAAAGAACTGAGATCTGCTGGGACTCACAGTCAGAGCAACTGGGAGGACTGGAATGAGAAAATACATGGATTTACACTATTGACAAAAATTATGTGTAGGAAATTAATCAGAATATTTATTAGTTTTAATGTTTATAGAAATGAACCAACCTTCATTTGTTATACAGCAAAGCAGCAAACAGGGAACTGAGGAGAAATTAAAGTGTTTTGTTAAAGTTTAAAATAGAAAGATTTATTCAAAAAGTATTAAATTTAACTATCTGAGATCTGTGCCTTAAAGCCAATCCTGTGTTACTAAGCGTCAAAAAGAGGGCAGTAAAGTAATTTCTCTTCCTGCTTGATGTGATGAAGATTCTTTCTTTAAATTCTCTTTTTGATCAAACTCTCAGGTTAAAACAGATAAAACAGTTAATTTACTTAAACAGCAGCTTTTTTACTCACAGAGCAGAAACTGCAGAGATGTTTCCATCATGGTGTCACTTCACGATCTGATCACTGATCGTTTCCTGCTGGAGCCTCAGAATAAAGCCCGCCTTCAGCCTGTAAATAGACATCTATGGTTAGTTCCTCTTTCTTTCTAACATAAATATATGTCCACATAACAGCTGGTTGAACAGTAAATGATGGATTATAGATCAGCAGCTTCTAGAATTGCTCCACTCACAGTAGCAGACTATAGAGCAGCTCTGCTGCTTTCTTTCTGTCTTCTTTATGAAAACTCTTTTTAATGAAAATCTATTGTTGAGGTGGATGATTGTCCTCTGTTCTATTTGATGTTCTGCAGATGGAGATATTTTAGTGTTGATACCTCTTTGGTTCTGGCTCCTTGTTTTGTTTTAATGCCATAATGTTTGATAGTTTAGGATGGACAACTCAAACCTCTGTTTTTCTTGTCTTTGTTGCTTTTAACCCGTAACTGGTTAAAAGAAGCAGGTTTAGTCAGACATTATCTTTCAATGCTGATATTTATTCCAGGAGGAGCTTTCTTGAACTTTCTGTTGGATTTTCTATAGTGTGATTTTCTATTGTGTGATTTAAATCGTGCGATAAGCAAACTGTTGTTGCTGGTTTCTGTGAAAGACTGAAAAACATCACAGCCAGTCAGCTAAGTTAGATCCTTTTATTTTTCAGAGAAAATAAACTCATTAAAATTTTAGGACTTCAGTCTTATTTTTGCAGAATCATGCGTTTAGCAGCTCTGTCCTCTGCAGCTTTTGGTTGCTGTTCTTTATGTTCACATTGAAGGCTAAAGATCTCCAGTAGCTTTAAAAGGAAGTAGATGAACCAGATGTCTGTGACTTCCTGTTTACTGTTCTGGACTTTGTGGCCTAAACTGGTTGCCATGTGACACTACTGTCAGAGTTACAGGCTGATTTGTTATTTCCGACTAATTTCAGGGTAAAACTACATTAAATTTTATGCTGGTGAGCTTTAAACAGTTCATTTGACAAACAACTTATTTTAATTCTCAGGGGAAATAAATTCTGTTTATAATCAGGCTCCTTTTTTAAGAAGTTATGTGACTAACAGAAGGAGCAGGACCAAGGCTTTCCTACTGTCCTCCATAGATATTGGGGCGTTGACCGTCTTTATGAACTTTTTAAAGGCTAAAGATCTTCAGCAGCTTTTAAATAAGGGAGATAATGTATCCGGGATCAGGAGCCAGTTTTTCACAAATAATGTTTCCACTGAACCAGAAACAGATGGTACATTTGACTTGTTATATACTTTGGATTTTCCTCCACCTTCTTCCATTACCTGTGAAGTGTCCTTCTCACTCCTCAAATTTTCTCGACCAGGTATTGTTAGTCTGCCTTTGACTTAGAGGGTAAATCTAACTCCAACCTGATCTACAAAAGCTCATAATTAAAATCAAACATTATTTGCAGCCGTTTCTTTGGTAAGATTTAGAAATCCTCACTGTGAATTGGGTTTTTATGGCGACTCTTTCTTTAGCATCATGTCACCACAAAGCATCTGTTTCTCTCTGTAACTAATGGCCTTTAGAATAAAATTTGAAAGCCAAACATTGTCTCATATTATTTTTATTGTGTATGCTGATTATACATTGACTGTATATTTAAGTCATTATTAACAGTAAGTTGTTGTTTCTGCTGCCATGTAAAGGGAATTTTGTCATTTTCTTCTCAACACATTCTGTCATAAATCTATTTTTCTATATGTGTAGAAAGCTGCCATTTAGACCTGAATTGTGTTAGAAGTTAGAATTTCAAATTGGGTTTAAAGTTTCTGTGTTTCAAGATTTGTGGGTGAACGGCAGGTATTGTTTTACATCTTCACCCGTGGACGTCAACTACTAAAATGGCTGCTTGAGCTGACTGCACAATACTTATTGCCCATACAATACAGCACTCCTTTACATTTTTTTGAATACCAGGCATTTATTATTATTGATTGTTATTGATTGGTTCATTCATTTAACTTTGCCTTAACTCATTTTAGTTTTCCTGATTATCTTTCTCCATCCTTTTGGCAGCTTTAGGCAGAACAAAAAGAATGAAGGTGAATGATTTTTAGGTCACACATTGGTGATTTAGAATTACATTTAAATTTATTTGAATTTGGTGATGCGTATGATGATGTTACTGTTTTTGTTTGTAGCTGTAAAAACAAAAGATTCGGGGTCTATATTCAAGATTTTTGTTCAGTAAAACAAACCTTATTTTGTTTTATATAGTTTTTTTAATTTCCAGCTATTCTGTAACATATTTCATGCAATGAATGCACAATATACTAAATCTCAAGTTCTCAAGGTAAATCACCCGACTTGCACACAGGAGGCCTTGGGTTTGTTTCCCTGCTGGGGGGAATGAGCTGCCAGTGTGGGTCCTTAGGCAAGACCTTTCATGCTAATGCCTACTTTGTAAGTCGCTTTGTATAAAAGCGTCTGCTAAATGCATGAAAAACATGCAGAACACAAACCAAAAAAAAAAAAAAAAAAAAAAAAAAAGCTATTTCAATAAAGGTAAATAAACCTGAAAATACTGTTCCGGGGATTTAGGTTACATCATGTATACAAAAAGTTATAAAATATTAGCATCTATTAACGAAAAGAAATAAACTTTTTTTTAGTGGCCAATGGCATCCCACACCATACATGACAGCTGGATAAGTTTTTACAGATTAGTGATTGGTCTACCTGCAGCAGCAGCGTCAACAACACAAAGACAGAGTTTAAACAGGCAAACTAAAGCCCCTGTTACAGCTAGACTATTTAACCAGCGCATACTGACGCCCCAGAAACTTCTAAAAAGCTGGCATACAATTTCAGGCGTATACGTAAAGTTTACATAACGATTCCTGAACTTAGGTTTAACTACAGCCTAACTTATGCATAACGCATGGCCAGAGGTGTCAAGTAACACTTTAGGTATCTATACTTTACTCCATTACTTATTTTTCTTCCTACTTCTGACTTCTACTCATTACATTGTAGCCCAAGTATCTGTACTTTCTATTCCATACATTTTTAAAACAAACGTTACTCGTTACTCTTGGCTTCGGTTTAATGTTTATAAATATTTATTTCCCGTCATGTGCTCCATCCACATCTAGTGAAACTAGTGTAATTGGATGAGTCATAGAACGCAAACACTCATTGGTTAGCTGAAGGAAATCATCAGAAGCAAGCAGGTGTTCTTCAAACTGCAAACGTGAATTGTCTTTGCCATGCTACAATGTGGGATTCAGAAAAAGATCCTGAGGGGGGCAGCAATGCACCCAGAGGTGCCCGGTCTTGTCATAGTTTTGGTTATGTTGTGCTTTACTTTGCTCCATGTTTCCTAGTTTTATTGGTTTAATTCCTATTTTGTGTAGTTTCTAGATTTATGTTAGTTCTCGGGTTTTTCTGTTGTTTTCCTCTGTTGCTATTTGTCAGCTACATATACTCTCACTCTGCAGTCACTCCTTGTTGGTTCCTTGTTGTTGCTGGTCCTGTCGTTGCTGTTCTCTGCTCACCTCGTCTGTCCCTGGCTCCTTCTGCGTGTTTTCCCCTGATGTCTCCATGGTTCTGGTCTGTGTTACATTTTTAGTTGGATTTTTGGATTCCTGCCTTTGTTAACTACTTTCATCATTAAAACTACAAGAATTCACCTCAACCTCTCTGCATTTGGGTCCTTTAAACCACAACCAAGATGTAACAGGTCTGGATAAAAAGTTTTCTTTGATCGCAGTATGAACCCCGCTCGTAAATGAGCCTCCGCTGGCATACAACGGGAAATTTTGAGCAAAATTTCTCTGTGTCCTTGCCGTATGTCAACGTGTTCCAGCGTGCTCCACCGTACTTCAGTGTACTCATACCTTATACAAAACTGACCCCTAACTTATCCAACGTATGCCAGTGTTTTTGCCAGATTTTACGTACATCAGACATACGCTGGCTAAATCGAAAGGGTATGACAGGGGCTATAGCAAAACAAGCCTTATCAAAAAATGTCATGTTTTCTGACAATTTTCTGTTGTAATAACCTCTACACCAAAACCATTTATATGAACTAGAAAGTTTAATGGTATATATATTTTATCAGTGTTGTCCATTTAAGTGTAAAGCACTTTCTGATATTTTTCTCCTTTAAACTGCTCCCACCAGGGGGCATCACAGCAGATCTTCAGCCTCCATCTTCTCCAAACCCCCCCCTCCCCCCTCTGTCTTAATTTGTCTTGTCTCCTTCTTACGTCCATCTTTGAATATGTTCTCTGTTCTTTTTGCTGTGTTTCTCCCAACTACATTAAATTCAGCATTCTTTGTGCATTGTAACTTATACTATCTGACATTATTAGATATTTTCACACATTTTATTTTATAGTTGCTGAATATCACAAACAATTCCCTGTTTGTCATCAGCATTTTTTAAACATTTTTTCAGTTTAATATCATCTGTAACAAAAGAGGCGTTTTTATGCTGCTCAGAAACTGAGTCTGGTGACAAAGAGGAAGGAGGCGGGCTCAGCTTAATGCATTCAGCCAAACTGAAGAGGGGTCAGATCCCTCAGAGGAACAATGAGAGGCGCAGCCCTACAGTGTCTGTTCTGTGAGTAGAAAAGTTCCTGTTTATTTGGCTTAAAGTTCTGGTGTGTTTAGCATTTCTGATGATTGTCCTTAGAAAAACAGTTATGAAGAAAAGAAATACAAGAAGATAAGAGGTTTTAAAATGCTTAGATATCCTGGTTCACATGCATAATTTGCAGAGTTTTAAACACTTTGAATTCATGATCAATAAATATTTCCCTTTCTTCAGCTCTGACCTTCATGCTGTGTTGTTCTGTGATCAAAGGTCAGTAGATTTCTGTTGTGTTCTCAATCTTTCATGCGGAAAAACATTCTAGAAAAATATGTTAAAAAAACAAATAGTAAAAAAAACTTCTGTTGTGATGACTATCTAAACTGATTAAATCTCTGTTTATTACAATTCACAACTAAAACCTGTATTATGTTTTTATTTTAGTCCTCCCAGCTGCTCTGACTGTGAGTCCCAGCAGATCTCAGTTCTTCAGAGGAGACTCTGTATCTCTGAGCTGTGAGGGCAACAGCTCTGCTGGATGGACTGTATGGAGGAACAGAACCAGAGGACAGTCTGAGTGTAACGGTTCATGGGGAAAACCTACTGGCCAAACCTGTAACATAATCTATATGAGCACAGGTGACAGTGGAGTTTACTGGTGTTGGTCGTCCAGAGAGGGAGCAGCCAGCAGCAGCATCCAGCTCACTGTCACTGGTAAGATCAGACTGTGGAGTTAGTGTTGATGAAGCTGTGTGGAAATGGATGAAATGCTGTAGTTTGTCTCTGTGTTTAGATGGATCAGTGATCCTGCAGAGTCCTGTCCTCCCTGTGATGGAGGGAGATGACGTCACTCTGAGCTGTCTAACAGAGACCACTCCCTCCAACCTCCCAGCTGCTTTCTATAAAGATGGCTCCCTCATCAGGACTGAGCCCAAAGGTCACATGACCCTCCACCATGTGACCAGCTCTGATGAAGGCCTCTACAGGTGTAACATCAGGGGTCATGGAGAGTCTCCATCCAGCTGGATCTCTGTTGAAGGTCAGAAGGATTGTTTCAATGCTGAACCTTAAGAGTCTTTATTATATGTTCATCACCTAATAAATCTTTATTTCAGAGAATTCCTCCACCTCTTCCCCAACAACCATCCCTTCTCCTACATCAACCTCTCCACCCTCCTACCAGTTTCATCCTTATGGGTTTCTGCTTCTATTTGGTGCCATGGTTGTAGCTCTACTGGTGGTTCTTCTGGTGAAATGTCACATGGACAAGAAAATTAAAGGTGCGATCAACATCTGCTGTACATACCTTCTGGGATTCATCTTCATTATTTCAGATGAATGTTTCACATTTTCCCCTGCACTTCAGATGTTTATATATTAGGGAAGATAAAAATAAATTGCTGAATTCAATCAACGCTTGATTTCAGGTGATCGGGAAGTTGGGAAGATAATAATCACCTATGTTTACATGCAATTATCACAGCTTGAAGAACAGAAAAACAAACCAAACAAAGGTAAGAATCTTTGTCGTCTTGTTTTTGATTGTTTTCTGGCTCAAAATCTTCTTAGATTAAACCTAAACTTTTTAATCAACTAAAAACTGAATATATTGACCTAAATGAGATTCCTTCAGACTAACGACTGAGACCTTAGAAATTAGAGTTGTTTTCTACAGCTTTCAGAGAGTGAATGAGCAGCAGCTTAGCAGTGAAATGAACAAAAATATTTAATGAAGTGCAGCAGTGATCAAATGTGATTTGGCTTATTTCAATCAGAATGTTTGTGTTGTTTATGTGCGGCAGGTTTGGTAAAGGCTGTACCCTTTAAGCTACATTTTGTGGTTTTTCTGCTAACTGACTGTTAACAGGTTTTGCAGTCATCTAGTTTCATGTTTCTGTGGTTTAGCTTTTTTTGCCCACGGTGTAACCTAAGTAGGTCAGCTATAGGAGGAATAGAAAAGGAATTGGCTCAACAGTTATAATATAATAATTTACTAAATGTGCTGCAGGTGTTTTATTAGTTTCTTTTTCATCTAAGAATTGGTAGTCATATTTCAGCACTCTCTATAAAACACTATATGCTCCTTTTATGTTTTAAAGGATTGTTTTTCAAACCGTTCTGGCTTTATGCCAAAGCAATGAATTGTGCAATAACAGTGAGGTAAAGCAGCGATAGCCTCAGTGGATGCATGGAACTGCATAAAAATAAAGTGAAATTTTATTGCCGTTAATAAATTTTAACTCTTGTCAATTTGTGTCATATTAACCAATCCATATCCAACCTGTCCCTTTTAACACAAAGCAATTCTATTCTTCTGTTTAAACTCATATATAATCAGGTGGAGGTTGATAATTACAAACTATGAATGTCTGTCAATAAATAACAAGGTAATAGCTAATTATCATTAATAAATATCTAATTTCTCATGCTAATAAAATACTTCCTATTTAATGAGATGTTGGAGTCATAAAGATCTTCTTTGTTTATGTTAAAGCATTCAGTATCTCTGTGTTTTGGACGATGTCTCACAGTCTCACTTTGTCTTTATGCTACGACCCGCTTTCATTGGCAACACAGATTATTTTCTCATGGTGTTTGAAGGAGCATTATAGATGTTTTGGGGTTCTTTTTTTCCATTGGGTACCAAATGTTGAGAAGAAACTGAAGCATATTTTAGTTTCTATCAGCAGACCGAGACTGACCAGGCTGTGGTTTAGGCTTTATAGATGTTAATTCCGTTGGAACCCTGAGAAACTGTTTGCCTCTTCCTTTGATGTGAATGCATCTTATTGAGCAAACAAAGGTGAGAAACTTTGTGGTTTTTTCTGCTAACCTGAACTTCTCACGACTAACTGCTGCCCCCACACATATACGTACATTAGACCTCTGTGACTTCTTATTTTCCTGGGACATTATGTATTTGTATTACAAATGCTAGTTTTACCTCTAAAGCCGGGCATACACTATACTTGTTTTTGTCCTTTTTGGGCCGATTTTGCAGTCTTGCGAAAATGTTTCGATCGGGCCGACTTTCAGCCTGATCGTGCTTCGTGTAGTGTCCGGAACTAACGAAGGGCCTCTAACAACCACCTCCTGATCACGGATCGTAAGGTTGGGAGAAAATCAAATATGTTTGAAATTCAGTCGGCCTTCGTAAGGTGGTCATGGTGAAATGGCTTAGTGGGCATGCACAAAAAAGGACTCTTCTTCTTCCTCTCAGAGAAGAACAGATGCGACTGAAATGGAGTTCTTTCAGTAAAATTGACAGACCGTAGTAGCCATGTTTTCTCAGCCTTGTCTTTTTTCCAAATACGTTTTCACCTTTTCTTTTTAGGGCTTTAAAACCTCTTCATAACATGAGGACCCAGCACTCGCCCCTAAAAGATCAAGTTTAAGCACAAAATTGCACAAATTAAAAAGGCAGTGTGTTTCACTCTAGTGAGCTTTATATTCCTCTTCTGCTCGTTTGGCTTCTGGATAGATGAGCCTGAGTAGCTCCATCTCACTCTCACCTCTGTAAAGTCTCCTTCTATCATCTAAGCGATATTTAAGTAGACAGTGTAAAGATTGAACCCCCCCCACAATACCTGAAAACTCTCAGCCTCTCAAAACACTCAAACCACCTCCTCCTCCCCAAGACTAAGCTAATCACCATGGGCGATCGTGCCTTGTGCTCTGCCCCTACCTCTGACCTGGAATCCCCTCCCTGATCATCTGAGGGAACCAAAGACTATCCAGACTTTTAAAAAAGGATTAAAAACATTTATTTTTTGCAGAACTTACAACTGTTAACCTTTTATAATTATGCCACCGACTTATTTATTCATATGTACTTTACAATATGTTCAGTTTTACATTTTTTGATTTTACCTGTTGCAATTGGAGATTTTTCCTAAATGTAAAATGGTAAAGTGCATTACTAATAAAATGTAGTAGTAGTAGTAGTAGTAGTATTCAGCTATTTTATATGTCCTCTGATTGAACTTTTAGTCATGTTTACTTTTTATTATTTGGCAGAAACTTTTCAATGTGTAATCTACTCCAGATTGATGGCAGAGAAGCTAAATGTGGATGATCATCTTGATCTACACGGTCTTGCCAAAAAGCAGGTATGAGCATTCCATGGAATAATCCTTGCATGGGGGATTATGTTTTATCTGGCAATAAGTTATTAAACCACTACTGGTGCAAAGAGTTGCTTCTTATTTCTTAAACAACCATGTTGAAAAACACATCCTGTGATCGTTGAAAAGATACCAGTCCATTTCAGAAGGGTCGAATTAGAGGGAAAACATCTAAGGAGATTGGTGAAACTACCTAACCTTGGTGAGGAACTGTCCACCACATTTCCAAGCTCCTGATGCAAAGGGAACTCAAGGGATTGGGACTGAACACTACAGGTGCTGGTCATAAAATTAGAATATCATGAAAAAGTAGATTGATTTCAGTAATTCCATTAAAAAGTGAAACTTGTATATTATATTCATACATTACATACAAACTCATATATTTCAGATGTTTATTTTGTTTAATTTTGATGATTACAAATGACAACAAATGAAAATCTCAAATTCATCATATCAGAAAATTAGAATATTGTGAAAAGGTTCAAAATTGATGGCCCCTGGTGCCACACTCTAATCAGCTAATTAACTCAAACCACCTGCAAAAGCCTTTAAATGGTCTTTCAGTCTAGTTCTATAGGCTACACAATCATGGGGAAGACTGCTGACTTGACAGTTGTCCAAAAGACGACCATCGACACCTTGCACAAGGAGGGCAAGACACAAAAGGTCATCGCTAAAGAGGCTGGCTGTTCACAGAGCTCAGTGTCCAAGCACATTAATAGAGAGGCGAAGGGAAGGAAAAGATGTGGTCGAAAAAAGTGTACAAGCAAGAGAGATAACCGCACCCTGGAGAGGATTGTGAAACAAAACCCATTCAAAAATGTGGGGGAGATTCACAAAGAGTGGACTGCAGCTGGAGTGAGTGCTTCAAGAACCACCACACACAGACGTATGAAAGACATGGGTTTCTGCTGTCGCATTCCTTGTGTCAAGCCACTCTTGAACCACAGACAGCGTCAGAAGCGTCTTGCCTGGGCTAAAGAGAAACAGGACTGGACTGCTGGTGAGTGGTCCAAAGTCATGTTCTCTGATGAAAGTAAATTTTGCATTTCCTTTGGAAATCAAGGTCCCAGAGTCTGGAGGAAAAGAAGAGAGGCACTTCATCCACGTTGCTTGAAGTCCAGTGTAAAGTTTCCACAGTCAGTGATGGTTTGGGGTGCCATGTCATCTGCTGGTGTTGGTCCATTGTGTTTTCTGAGGTCCAGGGTCAACGCAGCCACATACCAGGAAGTTTTAGAGCACTTCATGCTTCCTGCAGCTGACCAACTTTTTGGAGATGCAGATTTCATTTTCCAACAGGACTTGGCACCTGCACACAGTGCCAAAGCTACCAGTACCTGGTTGAAGGACCATGGTATCCCTGTTCTTAATTGGCCAGCAAACTCTCCTGACCTTAACCCCATAGAAAATCTATGGGGTATTGTGAAGAAGAAGATGCAATACACCAGACCCAGCAATTCAGAAGAGCTAAAAGCCACTATTAGAGCAACCTGGGCTATCATAACACCTGAGCAGTGCCACAGACTGATCGACTCCATGCCACGCCGCATTGCTGCAGTAATACAGGCCAAAGGAGGCCCAACTAAATACTGAGTGCTGTACATGCTCATACTTTTCATGTTCATACTTTTCAGTTGGCCAACATTTCTATAAATCCTTTGTTTTTATTGGTCTTCAGTAATATTCTAATTTTCTGATATGATGAATTTGAGATTTTCATTTGTTGTCATTTGTAATCATCAAAATTAAACAAAATAAACATCTGAAATATATGAGTTTGTATGTAATGTATGAATATAATATACAAGTTTCACTTTTTAAATGGAATTACTGAAATCAATCTACTTTTTCATGATATTCTAATTTTATGACCAGCACCTGTAATCAGTGATGCGAACAGGGGAAAAAGACTTTCGATTGATGGGGAGCAAGAGGATTGGACTCTGGAGCAATAGAAGGTCATATGGTCTGATAATTTTCTATCTATAGAAATTCAGCAGAGTGTATTGAGTCATTGACTTTATATAATTATTTTCTCCTGGATGATCATGGGCCACGGAGGAGAAAAAAAATCCTTTTTAAGGGGGAAATATCAGATGAACCAGAACCAGACTCAGTGTAAACATCCTTCTGCTACAACTAACTACAGCTCTACTAAGACAGATGAACACACACAGGAAATACCTTTTTTTATAGGACAACCAGCATTAATGGCCGACAAAACTCAATATCTTAACATGTTGAACAGATAAGTTCTATGCATAAAGAAAACTCTGGAATGAAATAAATCAATGCAGCTAACAGCGTTTCTTTTGTTTCTTCATTGACATTTATTCTGTGCTTGAGATAATTTTTTCACTTTTTTTTTTTTAGGGTTTCCACTAGAAGCGGAAGTTGTCTCTTCTTCTTCAGGTAGTCCTCCATCTGTCAGCTAATTTAAGGTCTGCTTATAAAGATCTACTTCTGCAAAAACGGATTTTATTCCTCTGAGTTTAGTGAGATGAAAACAAAGTAATTATAAATGTCTTTCATTGTTTGATTATCAGTGTGCTGTCCAATGTTCTCTGTATCACCTGCATTTTCCCTTTTGAAGGTGCATAGAGTTGTTTTATACCTAGACAAAAAAAGACCAAAGCACGTTTGTTTCTGATAAAATAAAGTAATATACCATGTGTCAGTC